CATTGCTAATTTATTCAGATGCTTTCATGCATAATCACTAGAAAACACAAATCTGTTATTCTGTTACTCTATCATCAGAAAGAAGCAGCTATCTAGTGAATACTTTGAAAAATTATTGTAAGTATCAAATTATGAACTGCAACATGAATACACTGCCTAAAGTACCATTTTAATTATCTTAACAGTTCCCTTTTTCTATTTAGGCTGACGTTGGGAATGCAAGGCCTGCTTTCAACTTTTGCCTACGCGACAGATGACTTCTGGCATAGCAAGGTTTTTCCAAGGATGTGACAACACGTAAATTGTAACACCATTGAGAATGCAAGAGCCCTTTTTAAGGACATACCGATACTGCAAACCTGTATTCTTGCTTCTAAAAGCTCGGTGTTTTGTGTTGTTTTTTTTACCAAGGTGGGAGAGGAGTGCTGTTAGCTTTATTGTATTGGTACAAAGCACCACTTTCCTGCTACTGCTGTCTCGACTTGGAAAGATAACAGACTACACTTACTTTTGTACCAGCAAAGGACCCTCAGCTCCCACATGCTTTATTTCTCTTTTCTGAACATACCCAATAAATGTTACACTCCCCAAACAAACCGTTCTCACTACTCCTTGGTAGGCTTTCATGGTTTGATTTCAAGCCAAGGTCTTTGCAACTACTAAACAGCAAAAAAAAGGAGCATTAAATTATGGATCTGATCTAGTAATTAATAAACCACAAGGCTCTGAATTAAATTCAGTCTTCTATTATACCCCACAAAAATCCCACAGTGGAAACACCTGCATTACAAATATCATAGGATGTGATACCATTTATTATCAAAATGTTTCTATTTATAGTAACAGGACAAAATTAGAGTTGTATCCATAAAAATGACAACATAACAGACAGAATCCATCAGTTATTGTTCCTATCCCTAGCATTGTCATTTCCAGTGCTGACCCATTACCAAGGGGTATTTCCATTTCCTTTATAAGCTTCTCCCTTCCACCTTCTCCCATAGAATATAAATGTCATTTGGAAGCTTGAAATCGAGAAGTTTTTCTTACCAAATGCTATTTTCCTTCATCCTATCGTGAGAATGAATGGTTCTTCTTGAACATTCAGCTGCTAAAGAGAAAGAAAAAGTGCAAATTAAATTTTCATTCTGTCCACTTTGTCAAAGGCTCTTTCTCACGTTAAGGCTTAAAGGGAAATGAAGATGCTAAATCTCAAAATATAGGTGCAGTCGGACCAATTTTTCTACCTGTGCAGATTCATGATACTCCTTTTAATGGATTTCTTGAGAAAATGAGGCGAAGAAGAAATTATGCAGATGCATAAAGAGCAGAGCATACCACAGGGAAAATGCTGGTAGAATAATGAGAGTTGGGATCCTAGCGCAGTCATATTTTGAATTATTTTGCCATGTCTGTCTTCAGTGACATCTCAGTCAACAACCGAATACGGGTCTGAACAGACTGCTTTGCTAGCTGGCATGTCACAGGGGATTGTCACCAGAGCTTAAAAGGTAAATTACCCCGAATGAAAAGATTTAAAGCAGTTGTGCAAAACTTGAAATCACTTTTTGGATGTCAAAATTACTGGTAATATTATGGCTTGCTGAGAATAAAAGTCATATGATCTAATATAAAGCTACCCTGGATAAAGAAAGATTTGGGGAATTTCTTACCTAGCAACAGTACTTATTCAAAGTACTTTTGAAAAATATATTAAAACTACATCAACTCCTTGTGCTATTCCTCTAAGAAAATGTTACGCTTATCACAACTAAAACTAGTTTTAGGCAAGCAGTTAAACCTTGGACAAATCATCCATTCTGCTTCTCAGCAGCACAGCCTTCCCTGGGTTTGACCACTTCTTTGGTCTGGATGTTTTCTAACAAAACATCAGTGACAACCATGCCAGGCACAACTTTGGGGGTTTATGCATACAAAACACATTTTAGAGGCATTTCGTACTGCACGTGTTTTATTGACGAATGAATGATTAAAACAGCCTTGCTAATTAAGCTGCTCTGGAAATGGTAATCGATTGAAATTTCAGGTGTCAAAGCAGAGTAAGATTATAAAATGTGCTTCAGAAGAACCCTTAAACTAAAGTTATTTTCATTGTTTATATTTTAATCAAGTTCTGAAGCACTTTGTAAACTACTTTTTAAATGTTTTCTGAGTATCACTGTAAATATTTTGTAATAGGAAAAGAAAACAAATTTCAAGCACTGTTTACGGAAGGGGATTTAAGATCAAATGCATTGTACAAAACACTAAAGCATTCACTGTTGGTCAAACACTGTAGGAGAACATTATCCAACACAATACTGACACATGCTAACTGTCACATCCTAATAAATACACAAGTAAGCAAATGGCAAAAAATATATTAAAGTAGCCGGCACCAGGTCTCTAGTAAAATTCTAGTACATTAACTTTCTATGGTACAAAAATAATAATAATCTTTAGAGTATTAGGTGTAATACAACAGTTACACTTGCTCACTATACATCCATCGGTGAGAGACTGCGATTAAAATCATTGCCTGTCCTTGCACAGCTCTATAAATGCACGGCTGTTACATGAACACATTACAGATAATTGCTGTCACTGTAGTTACTTTAAAGTATCTGTTAACAAAACCCAAGCAATTGCCCAAGAAACGACTTGGTCTGTACATATTTTATCTATTATATTACAGGAGCATCTTAAGCAAGGATGACGCTCTACTCCTCCTGGCACTGCACAAATAAGTGTAAGATGATAATCTCCGAAATGATCAATACAACAAAGCACGCTGCATAGCTATTGTAAATTTGAGCTTCTTACATAAACTATCTTATGTGTACCAAGTATGACTGGTTTGCATAGTTGCACAGTAATAGTTATTCACACTGAGGTTTTTACAATATTCTTAAAATATAGGCAGCTAACATCCAGACCAGCAGTCTGCTTTTAAAGAATCCACAGACTTAATTCATATGCTGTTAACCAGATATTGCTCGTACATTTAAATTACAGCAGGAGAAATAGGCTATCACTTAACTTACATTAATTGCAAAATACATTCATTTATCAAAACATTAATTGTACTTAATTCCTTTTTTACTTTTGAGGGCAAAGGTACAAAACTACAGTAAAAAAACCCTGCTATTAAATAAAGCCAATTTAAAGCAATAGAAAATTAGTCTGAACCAACTTGTGCTACTTGCTTTGTCTGAAGTTGCAAGAAGATAAAGGTGCATTTGAACAATACTGATGACCAAAATAGATTATATTTCTTGCGATACTTTAAGGACTATTTTATATTTATGAGCTCTTACCAAAGGCGTATATCTATGAGAAAACTGTCACTTTTGAAAGCAAAGGGAATTAGCCAGCAATTCATGAAATCTGAGAGATGTTCAAGAGCTTCAATAGTGACCATGGAAAAAGCTCCACAGATATACTGATAGATACCAATTCACATCACACTTCTACACTCGATGTAATTTTTTCATTAAGAATCTACAAATGATTTTTAAAAGTGCAATAATTATTGGTGGCCACTGGAAGCCTCTTGCTAACCTTTTCATATGTCATCAGAGTTGCATATTAAATGAGGCATTGTTGAAGTTTTTCTCCGCATGCTTTATCTATTTACAAGAAAATGCATTCCCAAGCAAGTAATAAGCATGACTAACATAGAATACTGAAATGTACCTGTTATAAGCTTCAAGATAAATGTAAAGTTCCATCAAGTTACTCGATGTAGATCACTAAAGAACTTCACGAGTATTGAGCGCTTAAAATGAAACAGTAAGCACTTAAGCGCTGCATTGATTTACAAGCCTGAAGCTCGCCAACTACATGACTGAGCTGCAGCTAATTTAGTTCTGGATGTGAAAGTATTTTTTTTATACTAAACAATTCCATTCAGGTAAAATTTTCTTTAGCCTACAAACTTCAAAACTTAATTTGAATCCCTCTTTTCTTAATTTGGTAGAGAAGACCTTAGGTAAATTCTATCAGCTCGTGCATTCCCAGCAAGGTGGACCCTAGCATTGGTCTCGACGTTTTGCAGTTGCTTTCAGAGAGCAGACTGGGGGTTTTGTGCCAAGTGAAACTGCTCTCGTCGTTGACCGGTGTAATTCTCCTAGCATATTTCACAAAATTGTCAAACATTTATTTCTCCAAGCTACACATTTGTATAAAATTTTATTCAGATTACTACTGCAGGGCTATTACTTCAGAGACTATAAAGCTATCCACATTCTTAGACGTCCATAAATTTCTCATCGAACAGCAAACTTCAACACAACAGTTCTTATAACTGTTTATTGAATCAAACAGTTCAGATGGAGTTTAGATGCAGTTTGTATAAAAAACCCTCTCTTTTCAGGTAAACTGCAATCAAAAATAACTTTACAAAATAGTAAGAGACTTACTGATATTGTAAGTTTCCTTACATGTAAAACTACAAAGTATTTGTGCATGCTCACTATCTGATTTCCTTCTTTGTTAACAGAGGAGTCATTAAAAGGAGTTTTTGTTTCTTTAAATCACAAGGTAGTCTATGAAATGAAATTGTTGTCATCACAATTTGGCTGTACAAGATCAAAACTGGCACAGAGGAACATAACATTTTTTTCCCAAAGAGTTGAGGCAGCTTTTGTTGAATGGTGTCTGCATCAGTAAATTTTTTATAAACTCTGGTGGCTCTGGAGCATCAGAGAGAATCCTTTTTTTCTTCTGAGATCTTGAAAAAATATTTCCCACAAATACAGACAGGTAAGGAGGAAGAGAAATAGCAGCTTGTTTCCTACATACAGCTCAACATCATGCGCAGCTGCCAAGCGTCTCAAAACAAAATTTAACTTGATGTCACAGGGAGGCATATCCCCCTCATGTTACAAGCACATCCGAGATTTCTCCGAGAAGAGGGAAGCAAGCACGAGGGTAAAGCGTAAGTCTACTTTTCATGCATAGCTACTGTGTGCTGCCCTGCGTCCGCATGTGGCGCTTCGTCAGACGTCTGAGTTGGAGCTGAGGTTTGTTAACCTGGGGTCTGCGTTGATCTCGTATCTGTAGTGGTAGCCCTCCATATGATCCCTACAGGCATCTCTGATGTTGTGCATCCACTTTTTGATTCCTTTTCGGTTCAAGTACAAAACCAGAAGGAAAATGGCCCCGATGAGAGCTAAGACTATCCCTAGGAAGACGTATGAAGTCTGTAGCTGGGAAGGGAGGTTAATGGGTACGGAGCAGTTCAGGTCCGAGACACTGATCTTCAGCAGGGCTTTGCCCAGCATCTTGTCGGGGTAGGCGCAGGTCAGGGTTTCTTTGCCCTCCACCTGGTCGCTCTCCTTGAGCCAAGCCACCAGGTCCTCGATAGCACAGTCACAGACCCAGGTGTTGCGGCCCAGGTCGATGTGCCGGAGGGCAGGCAGGCCCCGGAACTGGGCCAGGGTGCTGTTCCTCAGCACACTCAGGGAGTTGTTGCTGAGGTTGAGGCTCTGCAGCTGGCCCAGCCCCTGGAAGGAGATGTTTCGCAGGCCCACCAGGGAGTTGTTGCTGAGATCCAGCTGTCGCAGGGCGGGCAGGGCTGTGAACATGCCGGCGGGCAGCAGCACCAGCCCGTTGTTGGCCAGCTCCAGGCGGCTGAGGTTGCGCAGGGCCCCAGACTGAAGCATGGCGGCCAGGCTGAGGAGAACGCCGTGGTCACGCAGGGCCCCGCACAGGACCAGCTCCTCC